AATGTACAACCATAAAAGATTGTGTTTAATCTTACTATAGATTATCAATCAATCAAGCATTAAGGCCTGTTTATGCAATTTTTGAAGTGTGATTGTCTACGGCGCACCTAAAATCATATGTGTAAACTTCCCTGTGATTGTTGAGGCGATCAAAAATTGCTGCGAAGTTGCATCTAAATTTCAAGTACATTCGAAACTTGGGCGATGATCGCTCAATGATCACGCTTCAATATGATGTCTCCTCTTAAGGACACTGTATGGGGCTAAATAAAAACATATTCATACCACATCTAAAGCAACTCCCCCAGTGCATATTTGCGTGTGTTGTCCTGTTGGAGCTGTGACCGACACACTTCCAGGATCATGGGCGTGGACCTCTATTTTGTACCCAGGGGGTAAAAATGTATTGAAGCCTACGATCAGCTCTGGATGACCCTTGAATAATGTTGATACTCGACTGATAACACCAGGGGTGTCAATGCTGTATGGAAAGAATAAAAATATAGATTATTATCTATACTGCGACGATCATAGAGCGGATTTCGTATGAGTGGGACACCGTTACCGCACAGTTACTGGACCTGGCCTGCACAATTTTGGTGAACCAATCGGGCACTAGAATTTGTTTACAGTACGATTACGGTCACAGTACAGTACCGTCCGTTTCCCACTCATACGAAATCCGCTCTATAAAATCCTTACACATTCACAGCGGTTTGAACCATTACTTCATCTTATAGATGTTTATTCCAAAATTACTGACCAGTAAAGTTATGTACACCAAAAGTTAGCTACCTTTGTGATTTAAATTCCTTCATGATATCCAGGAAGTGGTTGTACACTTGTGGTTGGTTACCAAACTGAAGTTTGACTTGGTCTAAATATGACAAGGCATCTTCAACCTAGAACATGAAGTTATAGTATTAGACTAATTCCTCTAGAGTGACTCTTATTTCAGAGAGGTCAAAATGGTGGCAGACTASTTGTATCTTGTGATTTTAGTCTTGGATGATCATGAAGAAATACAAGCAGCAGTAATGACAACAATACTGAAAATAAATAATGTTACCTTTAGTCTTTGAAACTGTTGCTGCTGACCTTGAGACTGGGCTTGAACATGACCATGAGGCTGGGGCTAAAAAGTTATTATAAAATTATTAATTATATATATATTATTTTACGTGATGAAGGAAACAAACAGTTCTAGATCATTCTAMATTACTACTTTACCTGTTGGTGACCTGGCCCATGGTTTTGACCTTGAACTCTGTCATAAGAAGATATCATCAATT